CTCCCCTCAGGAAGGAGGTTGAGGAGCATTAAGTGTAGAACCACTAGACTGAGGAACAGCTTCTACCCTGAGGCTGTTAGACTCATGAATCCAGAAAAATCAATGTAATGCCACCTTAATTGGACATTTGACACTTCATCTGTGCTGCTGATTATCCATGCTGCTGATTTCTTTGCCATAAACTGCTGTATTCATACCCATCTGTTCACAACAGACACCATAGTACAATATATTATTGTATTTATATTATTGCTATTTTGGGTGTAACTGGGACCTCGAGTACACAATTTCGTTCCACCTCATGTACCACGTGATGAGAATGACAATAGTGTCCTTGAACCTTGAAACATGTTTCCCTGATAAATTAAATTCTTACTGTGCTGACCACACCGAAACGAAGAAAAATATTTACCAATAAGACAAAACCAAAAGTACCAACAAAGAAGAAAGTGCAAAATGTTAAATAAAATCAGACAAAAAGGCCTCTAATCAGACCTTTGCAAATTCACAGCCACACATTGATAAAGAAGGGAAATAGTCTGAATGGATCAAGAGCTGATGCAGAAACACAGAGGGGAGCGCCACCTGGTGGAAGAGCCACGCCACAGTCTCTTATCAAAATAGGACAAGGACAGCAAAAACAGAAAACAATGAGTTACTTTAGAAAATAACCTAAAAACCACTACTTTCTAAATAAATCTGATCTCATCCTTCTGAGCACTAAATAAGCTACACCTATGAAGAATAATTTTAACTTCACCAAGGTCTGCAAATAACTTTATCCTGTTTCACATCCGTCCACAGTGCTTTCTGTTCCATACGTGACACTTTATGTAAACAGCACGTTTATATTCTCACTCTCACACCAGTAAGAATATCTGAGGTGGTGGGGTGTTCAGTGTCTTTTCCCATGATCATTTGGCACACTGCAGGGGCTGGGGATTGAACCTCCGATCCCCCAAGTGGAGGGAGACCGCCCTACGACTGGGTCAAAGTCTCCACCCCCACTGAGAAATTCACAAAAGGTAGAAACTGTTATTATTATTTAACGTAACAAATCCCCTACAGACGTTTGTGTTTACCTTTGTGGAGCATCGTTTTGTGAGAACAGGAGCTCAAACTTTTAGTTTCTATAACTTTTATACTTTTCTAAACATTTCTTATTTACAAAAGCATTTAGCTACTTTTAGCTATCAATCTGATATTTTAGCCTTTAGCTAACCTTTTGCTCAATTTAAATCACTGCTACATTTTTCTTGTGTTTTGGTACTTTTAGCTCTGATACTTTTAGCCTTTAGTTAGTCTTTGGCTTAATTTAGCTTTTCATGAGCCTGTTGCTACATTTAGCTAGTGTTCTTCTCCTTTTAGTTTGTAGCTAGTGTTTTGCTACTTTTTTCATTTAGCTACCATTCTTCCACTTTAACCCTTTAACTAGCCTTTTGCTACATTTAATTTTTACGTACCATTTTGCCACTTTTAGCTTCAAACCAGACATTTGATAGTTATAGCTTTTTAAATAATGTTCTGCTACTGTTTAGCTAGTCCTTTGGTACCATTCTCTTTCAGTTACCATTTTGCCTCTTTAAGCTTTTAGCTAGTGTTCTGCTTTCACAACTCAGTTTCAGCTTCTTCAGCAAAGTTAAAGAAGGTCATTCAGCGCTCAGTGTTCACTGAGCTTTCACAGAAAATGTGATTCATCTAGTTTAATAAATAAATTAAAAAAAAAAAAAATATATATATATA